TACAGTGATGGGCTCTAAATTAGCTGTTACTGCTTAAGAGAGAGATCATGGAGTCATTGTGGATAGTTCTCTGAAATCATCCACTCGATGTGCAGTGGCAGTCAAAAAAGCAAACAGAATGTTGGGAATCCTCAAGAAAGGGATAGATAAGACAGAAAATATCATATTGCCTCTATATAAATCTGTGGAATGCCCACACCTTGAATACTGCATGCAAATGTGGTCGCCCCATCTCAAAAAAAGATATATTGGAATTTGAAAAGGTTCAGAAAAGGGCAACAAAAATGATTAGGGGTATAGAACGGCTTACGTATGAGGAGAGATTAATAAGACTGGGACTTTCCAGCTTGGAAAAGAGGCAACTAAGGGGGGGATATGATAGAGGTCTATAAAATCATGAGTGTTGTAGAGAAAGTAAATAAGGAGGTGTTATTTATTCCTTCTCATAATACAAGAACAAGGGGCCACCAAATGAAATTAAAAGGTAGCAGGTTTAAAACACAAGAAAGTATTTTTTCACTCAACGCACTGTCAACCTCTGGAACTCCTTGCCAGAAGGTGTTGTGAAGGCCAATACTATAACGGGGTTCAAAAGGGAGCTAGATATTTTCATGGAAAATAGGTCCATCAATGAGTATTAGCCAGGATGGGCAGGAATGGTGTCCCTAGCCTCTGTTTGCCAGACGCTGGGATTGGGTGACAGGGCATGGATCACTTGATGATAACCTGTCTGTTCATTCCCTTTGGGGCACCTGCCATTGGCCAGGATACTGGGCTTGATGGACCCTTGGTCTGACCCAGCATGGCCCTTCTTATGACTTTCACCAAAGTTCTGCTCGTTCTACATTCAGTTCCTTTTGTGATCACAGCTCATTCAGCAGCTGCTCTTGTTCCTCTGGATTTCTGTTCCAAAACCAAAGATATCCCTATTGGCTTCTTATTAAAAAATAACAGGTCATGGACAGTCCTCTTAATTTTTTTTTTTAAAGCCACGAAACCAGACATGTTTTCTCCATTTTGGTTTCTTTAGTGAAATGTCTTTTTTTTTTCATCTAGGAAGTCTGTTTGGGCCTGTTCTTGCTCACACTTAAGCTTCTACACCACTCTGGCTGTATAAAAGGGCCTTGAAGTGAATACAGATAATTTGCTCTGCCATGTACCACTGCTAGCCTTCAACTGACCACCTTCACGTACCCTTTTACCAAACTGTCTTCTTCCAACTCAACCCACTATTACGTCAAACATCGACAACTACTAAGGTTGGGGAAAAGAATCTAGTAAAGGAGTGTGTGCAGAAGGGCTAAAAGGAGGGTAGAGTTAACTTGTGGTGTGTACCGTGTGGTATATGATAGTTGCTGTTATAAGCACACACCTTTCCACAACTTTAACTTTTAAAATAAAGGGAGGGCAGAAGTGAGGAGAAAGCAGTGTAGGAAGTAAGGAAGACATGAGCCAAGAGAAATTAATTAACTCTGTGAGGTAATTTTAAAGTACAGGCAGCAGCAATGAGTTTAGCAAGGAGAGAGGACATAAAGGAAAAAATTGACCTGTATGAAAAAATATTTGAAAAAGGTTAAATTATTAGCTCTGAGAGGGGAGTTGGGCTCAATGGATTAGAGAAGGGGGACTGAAAACCTGACTCAAGAAGGAGAGTGGGGGTTGCTACCTGCTACCGAAAAACCTGAATATGTACTCCCAGTGCCTATTGCTTTTGTCTGTTTTCCAAGTGGTCTGCTGGCACACCCATGCAAACAGCAGCTAACTGGCTATGTGCCACAGTGTGAGCACCCTTTAGATCTTGTGCTTGCTGCACCCACTCAGCTTTTTCCCTTTTCTCCTGGCTACGCTGCATTTGATATTCCTTGACTGCATCTCTTGCATTCTACAAATTGCATGCAAAGGAGGTTTTTAAACTATGAACACCCTCCAATTGCTGTTTTGACTCTGTTCTGCTCCTTGTCTGTATTTAAGTTTTCCGCTAAATCTTTTATTCTACTGTTTAAAGCTAAGCAAGTTAAATAGAGCCCTTGCATAGCCATACCTTTTCAATCCTTTTCTTTCCCCTTTTTACTTTGTTTTCCTCCATTTCTGATGTAAACAGATTACATACATGACCACAGGGGTCGAGGTTATTTACAATATCGAGCCAGAATGATGCACCTCTGTGTTTATTTATAAAGTGCATAATAAAGGATTATAATGTGTCCTGTCTTTCTCTTTCATTAGTCATGTCTGTGATTTCTGTATATGGCTTTTACCTAGGAAACGCTTTAATTCGTGTGTGTGTGTGTGTGTGTGTGTGTGTATATATATTTATATATATATAAATAAAAATAAATAATCTCTCACACACACACACACTTAAAATGTAGCTTTTTGCCCAGGAATTCCTAAAGTATTGGTATTTCACCTAGAGTGCTGTATTATGCACATCTGTAAAACTGGTTACTTTTAAAAGGCATTTTGCCATAGTGCGCTTATTATTAAAAATCACAGCAGCACCTCCTGTGCATACTGGAAATGTCTGAAAGCTTATAACTCTCTTTGGCTTGGCCAGCTGCCTGCATGTACCAGAGATTCACAAACACTAGTGTCCTACCACTTGCCGAGTAGGATCCCCTTCTGAGCAGTTATGTCATGATCACACACTGCTTGGTTTGACTGATGTTGTGGCTAGATGGCTCCTGGCTGGCTTGCCAATTTGTTGATAAATTGTATAGTCAGTTGCTTGACCACACTTTGGTCCATTATGAAATATACTCGACACCAAATAACCAGTCAGATTTATTAATATGGTACAGGAAAAGGGTTCTATACAATACCAGTCTCTGAAGAGCAGTCCCATGCAGCAATGTTACATTCACCTTACGCAAAACATGTGCTCCCCAAAGTTACATCCCTAAAGCCATCTTTTTATACCCTATTTGTTTACCACTACAAAGTACTATATATATCACCTGAAACTGGATTCAATTAATCATCTTTCTACCGTGTTTATTTCTGGTACCATGGTGTACCTCTTTATCTGTTGTTCTTAACCCATGCATTCCAGGTACTAATGGGCGTGAAGACACCTCCTATGCCAGTACCAGGATAAATAGGTTTGTGAGGGTAACTCCCTTTCTATTGCTATAAGGAAACAATAATATGTCCTGATTCTGACAGTTTTTCTATCTACTTAAGACAAAGCTTACCTCAGCTAATCCAAGGCGTCATTGGATACTTAGCACAAGTGAACAGGATTATAACAAAGGTACAGGACAATTTGGGCATTATAACAGCTATATTAGTGCTTAATATGTGTACTTAAATGCTTATAATATATCTTGTGGATAACATTATCAGCATAATATATATGTATGCTAGCCAGTGTGTATTAGTCAACACTGTGCATGGAAGAATACAGGGTATGTACTCTGTTAGCTTCGTTTTTCGTTTCTTCCTTGCATTTTGTGGGTTTGTGTCAGGTATGTTGTGGGTGTTGCAGCCCCAAATGCTTTACAAGAAGGTATTTGTATATTTTTTTATTAGTTTTGTACTTGGTAATAGGGTGGCTTGCCTCTTAAGGGGTAGAGACCTGGGGGCAGCCAATTCGGATTACTAATGCGGCACATTTGAGCAAGGATCACCTGGTTCCCTTATAAAAGGCAGCAGGGAGATAGTTCTCAGGGAAAACAGATTGTTGGTAGCAAGGAGGATCCAGCAGAGAAACTTGGGAAAATGAGACTACAAGCAGGAAAAGCTTGAGACAATGGATGGACTTGAGAACTTCATTTTGAATGTTTGTTAATTGAATAAAGCAGAATGCAAGAATGGACAAAAATGTTTGAGAGTTATTGGAGAAGCCCCTTGAAGGGGGAAAATTGAGTCAGGGGGCCATTTGCAAGGCTGCCCCAAAGCCATGAGAGGGCTCATGGGAGGTAGCTACCATGGACAATTAGCTTAACCAGAAATGCAGAATCAGAGGATAAAGTGAACTACACAAAATGTGTTGGTCTGATGATTAGACGATGTGATAAATCATGGTTTCTGACTTTGGCTTGATTCACATGTTTTTGTATACAATATTTGTTTTACATTCTGCCACCTGGGCTAAAATATATAGTACCATGTATGTATTCATAGCTTAAATGAATAATACTACATGTGGTTTGCAAGAAAAATGATTGATTTAAATGGGCATTGTGGGTTCTCAGCATCTCATAACTGTATGCTTTTTTTATATTGTTGGACTGTCAGAGTTAATTTACAGAACACATACCACATAAGCTGCCTTTAATTATTGCCTTCATTGGATATACTGGGAAAACTCCGAATGCCTAGGGTTAGACTACATTAAAACTGAAAGCTAGTTTAATTCACAAAGTTGCATCCTCTGAGAAAATTTGCAAATGCATCTGTATATAACTATATTTCATTTTGCAAGCTCCTCAGTGAAAACACATACAACTACTCCCATCTACGGTCAATGGGAGCTGTGGGTGTTCAGCAGTTCTGAAAATTGGGCTCTTGGTATTTTCATTCCTGTAACAAAATCTGTATGATACGTTGAGTTTGTGGGCCAGATTCTGGTTTTACACTGGCGTAACATTGATGTCAATGGTATTGCTCCTCCTTTGCAATCATGCAAAGAGAGCAGAATCAAAATGTGTGTGTGTGTGTGTGTGTGTGTGTCTCTCTCTCTCTCTCTTCCTGGATTCTTGTATCATTGTGGCTGTATCACTGGATGGAATGCCAGACATGCTCAAGTGTATGTGATCAAGTGTCTTCAGGATCATTACGGAGGACATTCTGAATGACTAGTAGTGCTACACACATGTGAATGCTGTACAGATTAATAGTAGTAATGGTTAATAATTTAACATGACTGACAACTCAAACTTTCCTCACAAATGTTGACAATAGGCTTTGGCTTAATTAATTACAGTTATTAATACTCCTTTATTTTTTGGTCAATATAAGGTACAATGCTGCACTATGTTTTTTTTCCCTTCTTTAAGGAACTGATGACCAAGCTGATAACAGAGACTCCTGACCAGCCAATCCCATTTCTCATTGACCATCTTCAGTCCAAACAAGGGAACCGGAGTCAACTACAGAGAACATTGTCTGGATCTGCTGCTCTCTGGGCAGAAAGTGAGACATCAGGTAAGTGGGGAATATTTGTATGTTTTGAGATTTTAAAAAAATACTATTATGCCAAAGAAATAACATGAAGAAAACAGAGGTGAGTATTGTAAAATGAACAGAAACTAATATTTCTTAAATAGATTTTATTTATTCTTTGTACCATTAAAGAAATCCATATGATAGAAAGGAGACAAATCCATAAGGCATGTAAGGCCAGATGTTCCCCTAATTGGGTTATTCCCATTTAAGGGCAAGAAAACTCAATGAATTTTGACTTGTAACATTTCATTTTCTGTCTTTTTCTATGCTTCCTATTTCATCCTTCTGGGTACTCAGGGGGTTGGATATTGTTTGATGGGGGTATGTGTGTTTATGAGCAAAAGCGGTTGGAGAACAGGCAGAGAGAGAAAGCATATGAAGCACGTGCAATATGACCCTGAGGGAGAGCCAAGAGAGAAGTCTTTTGGGCAGAGTGCTGTCTGGAAAGAGGCTTAGAACTGTGAGCAAAGGAAGTGCCTCTTGTTGTTTGATTCCTACTGTAAATAAACAGGATTGCATAAAACAAAAACCTTGACTCCATCAATTTCTCCTCTTAATGGAAACAATCTGAAAGATCCTTCTATTGACTAATTGATCAGGTCAAAAAAAGGTAACAATATAATTCAAGATATACAAACTGTAAGATCTTGTAGCGGGGTGAGATCAGTGCAGCGCCTCCTGCTGGTTTTCCTGGGAATTAGCTCCTGTCCAGCCCAGAGCACCCTCTGCAGGCCGGTGTCTCACCTGCCGCTGGCCCTGTGTCCCTCCTGGACCCCAGTGCCCTTTACCTCATGGTTGGGCCCCAGTAGTACCCCCACACTCTAGGTCTCCCCTCCCAGGGGAACCCCAACCCTCTAAACCCACCTTGCCTCAGTGGCTACTGCCAGTCATCATCTAGCCCCCATTCACTGGGGCAGACTGCAGTCTGTAATGGCCATTCATCATTGGCAAGGGGTTAGGACCAGCTGCCTCTGCCTCTTCCCAGGCTGCACCTCTGTAGCCCCAGTACCATTGTAGGCCTTCACCAAGGCCTGCAGCCTGGGGGTTTACCAGGCTGGAGCGTCCCTTGCCTTTCCCCAGCACTGCTCTACCTCTGGTGCCCTGCTCCCAGGCAGCTAGGTCCTTCTTTCTGCACAGATAGAGACTGCCCCAGCTCCTGGCTCACAGCCATTTTATAGGGCCAGCTGTCTCCTAATTGGGTGTGGCCCCAGCTGTGACTGCCTTCCCAATCAGCCTACCCTATTGGCTTCCCAGGGCTGTTTTAACCCCTTCAGGGCCGCTACAGATCTACAAAACAAATATAGGTGAAATATACAGTGGAGCTATAGGTTGTAGTTAGTCTTTATTTAGATATTTAATAACACATTTTAACCACCCTTCACCTCAACACTTTACAGGAAGACGGTCTTACTGTTGTATGAACCCCAGTGTGACAAATTTATGTTTTGAGATTTTAAAACATTTGCAATAGCAAGCACTCTGACTTTAAAATAGCAATTCCCACATTGATAAGCCAGTAGATTTTGGTACATATTCATCCATAACAGTGTTTATTAAAATTTTGGTTTTGTGACAAAAGTTGACTGAAAGTCTGTAGGAACGTACCAGACCTCCATCAGATGCATAGTGGTTAATTTTTAATTGTGTGGTGAATGTTTTATTAATATGCAATTGGCATTTACAGTTTTGAGTATAAGCACTCAGCTTCTTTTCAGAACCACTGGAAATTGGGGTAGAACATGGAGGGACCTGAAAGAGGCCAGGGAGAGGGGAGTCAGACAGGAAGCGGATGTGCTCTGACCTCTGATGTGGAATAGCTTTGGCAGCTTGCTGTCGTCAGTTATTTATGTAACTTTAAAGTGCAATTGATTTCCATAATCTTTTCAAACAGTGCTGTACAGTAATATGATTAAGGCTACCAGAATCTGTCCATTAATTTTTTTAATGCTTGTGTTTAATGGTAGCTCTTCCCTTCAATTGCACTTAGAAACTGTGATTGTAACTTAACAAAGTTTTGTCTTGTTTTTTGTTTTTGTGGGAATTAACAGGCAGGTGTAAAGCACTCATTAATGAAGGAGACCAAGCTGAATGTTAGCTATAAAGTTGGAACATATAAATAAATGCTAAATAACTATTTCCATTAACAGTCTTTTGAGGAATAGTCTCAAAACAGGGATTGTTTTAAATACATCAAAAAAGAAGGATATTCAAAACTAGACTTAATTTGAAGTCCATACCTGTATAATATATGCCAGGTCCTGCCCTCCACTGGCACAAAGCTGCCCTAAAGTGACTTAACTGTTCACAAGATGCTCTCCCATGCAAAGGGGATATTTAGGTGGTGTAAATCTGCTGTAAGGACTTCTGCGCTTCCCACAGGCTTGTGGCTGGCACACAGGGCGTGGCCTGTAGGTATGGGCATTCCTCCACCCTAGTGATTCCTGGCTGCAATATCCAGCCAGTGCAAGCTGGAGCAGCCTTCTCATTGCTCCAGTTTGTGCTTGTTTTCTGGCCCATCAGAAAGTAACCCTAGTATTGGGGAAGTGCAAAGGATGCTTAAAGCCATTGTTTTCTTTCTCCTCACCCCACTTCTCAACTGTGTTGAGGGCTTCGTGGTCACAGCTAATCCCCTGCATTTTTAATCAAAGGCACGTCCATACATTTCTCAAGTTAGATGTGAAAGGAAGCAAGCAGTAGTTTGTATATTCTTGTGCCATGATCTGAAATTGTGTTTGGCATAATTCAGCAAGGGGAAGAGGAAGAGCAGCTGGCCTTATGCTCCTAGACTGATACCCAGTATATCCAGGCAACCCAAAGTATATTTTTATCTGGGGTGTGACAAAGTCAGACCTGACAGCTATGAGAGAGTGGTCCTGTTGGGTTCTGGGAAGAGGGCAGGTGCAAGCCACCCCAGGGCTAAAGGACCCTCCCCCACCCTATAGGGAGAATCCATTAAGCCTGGAACTCAAATAAATACGGGGGGACAACAGAAGAAAAAAAGGACAGGGTCAAAAGGGGCACTGAGCAGAAAACCCCAGACAGCGCCCACTGCTCCTCAAAGGTGTCAAGGGAGCCAGCTGACACTGCCCAGAGGAACTCTGCCTGGATACATGAGCAGAGAGTGGAACAGTAATAGGCCCCACAGTTTCAGAGAACCCCCTCAGCTAACATCCTCTCTATGAGAGAGTGGTCCTATTGGGTTCTGGGGAGGTAGGTGGGCGCAAGCCTGCCCACAGGTAAAGGAGCCTCTGCCAGCCTACAACAGAAAAATAACAAGGATCGGTGTAAGGGTCAGAGGGTCAAAAGTAGGGAACTGGAAGGGGACACCGAGCAGAGAACCCACAGTGTCCACTGCTCCTCGAAGATGTCAAGGGAGCCCAGTGGATGCAGCCCAGAGGAACTCTGCCCAGATGTGTGAATAGAGGGAGGATCAGAAATAGGCCCCACAGTCGCAGAGAATCCCCTGAGCCATAGAATGGAGAAGGCCCTTTTCCCTATGAACTGAAAAACGGTTACCTCAGGTTAATTAGAGATACCTGATCCCAATTAAGGGCTGCCAGTGACTTTTAGAAACCCCTCTTCTGATGAGAGAGGGGGAGAGAGAGAGACACACACAGACAGGAGGGATGCAGTAGCTGCAGTAGGGTAGGGGCAGCAGGGAGAAAAGGTTTCTCGTAGATGGAAGGCTGCTCTCCTCCTTATATGGGACACAGTCATGTTAACTTCCGTTTGGGGAAGGACTGGCAACCAGAAGCCAGCATAATAAGACAATGCTCTGGGGCAGGGGCAGGAAAAAAATTATTATTTTGTGTTGTTTGATTTTTGCATAAGAGAACTGCTTGGGCCTACCCTGAGGCCCACATTGTAAATTTTGAAAAAATAAACCAAAGCAAAGAATTAAAACCCCCTGCAGTAGTATTGCTGCATTCCAGGCCTCCACCGCCAGAGAGAGAAATGCTGAGGCTAACAAGGTGAAGGAGGTGCCTTGTCAAACTGGGTTTATCATGTAACATAACCTTGAAAAGTGACACTGCAAATGTAATCACCTGAGATTTTATTTTTGCGACAGAAAACAAAGGAACAAGAAGAGATTGCAGAACTTATGATAAACCCTGGCAGGTAAATGCAAAGAAACCTAAAAAGTCAAAGAGTGACCTCGCTGTGTCCAACATTTCTCCACCATCACCGGAATCCAAGTCATGTAAGCAAATTTCAATGCTTTATTGATCAATACACCCATCAGATTGTACTCAAGGTTGAAATAAAATGCAAAACAGGGCTGTACCTTTAGTTGAAATGGTTGGATACACATCTTAATAGACTTCAGTTCTAGTTATACTTTAATACACACCATAGACTGTTAAGAGTATTGTGCTACCATATATGAATAGGATTACTTTAGAAAAAAATAAGTTTGAATGTTATGTACTGTTTCATGTTTTAAAATGCTGATTTTGATTGATGTTTCAATTGCCAACACATACACAAAATCTATTCTCTATATCCTTAGTGCTAATAATAGCAGAGGTAGGTAGTTTCTTCAGTGGAATCAATCAGTACAAACAACTTATTGATAACACATCTGGTTTTAGACACAAGTAATGTCAGGAAATAGGAGGACTATTTTGAGACTTGCTGGGAAAGCCTAATTATATATTAAAGGAAAAGAACAAGAGAAATTGGATGACCGAAGAGAGTATTGACAGTGACCTGTAAGGTGAAGTAGTAAGAATGGTGATAAAGGAATTTTAATGAAGTACAGTAGTGCCAATGAACACATTTATGGTATCAAATATTAAATACACTTATTTTTGAACTTAGATTTTATTAAGTTTTCATACAAGTAAAACAGATGCTTCACAAATCACTTACAACATTTCCCAAGATCTAAAACACAGTGAAGCCATCCAGCTGTATTTGGAGGACTTGGATGCACTCCTACTAGGTCACTATTGAGGAAAAAGCTGGTTATAAATGTGTCTACAACATTTTAAAGTTAGGCCCATCAATAGAAATATAGCTACATTAATACTATCCCTATCAAGAGCGAGAATTCAGAAGGAAACAGTTTACAAAGAAAGAGAAATTACTAAATTTTGTGTAAGAGCAGAAATGTACAGTTAGGCGGAGCACTTCATGTTCACTGTCATTGTCTGATTCCTACTTCAGAAAAAATAATGGGGTCTGATTCTGATCCTCAGCTACGTAGATGTGAGGCATGCTCTAGCCTCTTGTTGCCATATAACCCAGCTACACATCAGGCTGACAGATCCTAGGGAGTTATCAGTATTGGGAAACCAAGTGGTGTTCTATAGCTACTTCTGGGAACCTCCTGGATTTGTTTAGGCGTTTGCCACATGAAACTCAGTGGTACTACAGAGTTGTTGCAAGCTCAATATGACTGTAGGGAAAGGAGCTGATGGAAACTGTGCACATTTAGGCTTATACACAAGATGTGCTCACTAGAGCTGATTTTTACAATTTTCCTAGGGATATACAACATAAGCAGTAAGGTGGCTTCTCTGAGCCATTAATCTGCCAGTGGCCTAATCTTCACCACTGAAATGCCACTTGATTAATGCTCAATGCATTATAAAGATGTAGCCACACTGCAAACAAGAGGAATACTCATCAAAAGTCCATCTATCTTGACTCAAAATAATCAAAACTGGAACTTCCTTTCCCATTGCAGACACATAAGAAAAGAAAGGTACATAACATGTATAGCCACAATACTTTCTAAAAGGTTCACTGCATGCAGTTCCATAGATATTGTGAAGGGGCATACCCTCGTTCTGGTGGAGAGGAGACTAACGAGCTCTTCTGGGCTCATTCAGCCCTAACAAGGCACACCTGTAAGGCGTGCTCTGCTGGGGTGGAGATGCTTAAAAAGAGAGAACCTGCCACAGGAAAGGGTGATGAACAGGAAGAAAATTGCTGACCATAGAGACTGATCAACCAAGAGGGAGACAGTCACAGGCCTCGCCGTCCTGATGCTTCAAGGGCCAGGAGTAATGCACGGTGCCCCAAGAGGATGGGCTGAAGGTAGACATTAATTAGAGACAGTAGGCCGCCTGTGAAGGTGCTTCGGAACTGCTCTGCTCCAGCTTTGCTGTGGCTCATCCCCAAAACTGCTTGTTCATTCAATATATGGTACCTGTAGTTAGTTTTTAGTTTAGCTAGAGCACCATGCCCCGGGTTTTAAGTCATGCGATACTTGTAGGTGATCTATGCCACTGAGTGATCCACGCGTGGACTGCCTATGCTGTTTGGGGGAACCCATCTCAGCAATTGCTGCAAGCTTAGCAAGTCGTTTAAGCCTCAGACCAAAAGAGAAAGGGACATTAGGCTCCGGGCTATTCTGTTGGAGTCGGCGCTGACCCCGGCTCCGGCGTGCCGCTCTGAGTTAGCAGTGGGCACCGCGGTGTCGGTGCATGGGGACCCTTCAGCGCTGTCGACTAGTCAGCACCGCTCCCAGTCCACGGGGCACGGCAAGAAGGCTAGGAAGAGGCCGCCTTTGCCGCTGCACTGGAGTAAACCTGGGACGGAGGCTAGACCCATGTCGGGGAGTCCTCGATCCCCACTGGCCTCTAGGCCTCCGACTTAAGTCGAGTGTAGTAGCCTGGCCTATTCAGAGCAGACCTCCCAGATGTCTGGATGCCCTCCACACCGGAGGCCCTGCAGGCGGCCCAGGATGTTATGTCCATGTTGGTACCAGGAGCACTGCCGATGTTGGCCCCCCGCTCCAGAGGCAAACAACTGCTGGAATCATCGCAATCGCCCCCAGCTCGGTACCGGTCTCGGTCGAGGGAACGTTCCCTACGCCATTTGCCGCCCAGCGACCGTTCAGGGCAAAATCCATGTGGATCACACTCGACGCCCACCAGGCTGTCCGGTTGGGTTCCATCTGATCGAGACTCTCGGCACCGCTTCGCCTCAAGGAACGAACACCAACGGGACCGAGGCAGACGACACCAAAGGTCCTTGTCTCGGAGGGGCTACCGCTGCCGGTCACGGCACGAACATCTATGTCGTTCCAGTTCAGCGTCCCGCTCCAGGACCCCGCCATGGCACCGCCCCCACAGCGCTGGGCATCGATCGCCGGCGTCTCGCCAACACGGGTCTGCCCACCAGAGCTGATGGTGGAGCAGCTGTTACCGATGGTACTGGTCCTCCACGGTGGGATCGCGGTCCTGTGGTCGGCATCGCTCCTGCCGCTGCTGCTCCTCCCAGTCTAGGGACAGCGGCAGGTTGTATATCAGCCTGGCCTCCCTTTGTAGTCGTCCATTGATGGGCCAGGCCGAACAGCCGGCTCCACCAGTGCCACAGCAGGTGCAGTGGCACTGGGCCCTGTGGCTGGCCCAATGGTACCAATGGGCACTGTGGCCCCCGACACAGCCCCCGGTCGGGGTTCGCTCGGTGGCTGGAGCCTCAGAAGGACCATCGGCCTCCTTCTCCAGAGCTCTGAGGAAGGAGTCGGTGGGACGTACATCCTTGGCACTGTGCCCAGAGAACAACCAGGTTTTGGATCCTCCGGTGCCCGTGGACACATTGTTCCAATGGTTAATTATCCTCACTGTTTTAAAAAAAAAAAAATTTTACACTTGTAACAGGATGGCTAGCCTCATTAGCTGGAGAGCCTGGAACTAGGCCAGTCCTGATTACAAGATAAGCCCCCACTGGACTAGTATCAGGTAGTTCAGATATAAACAGGCAGGAAGCTGCAGGAATGTCTAGTTGAGAGAGACTAAGAAAGCAGGGCCAAGGGGCTGACCATTAGCCAGAAAGGGCTGGGGACTGGTGGCTTCGGGTGGAATGGACTGAATGAGAGAGAACTGTAATCAAACCAGCCCTTGATCTTCTTTGTTAAGCTAAATATATTGAGCTACTCGAGACTGTCACTGTAAGGCATGTTTTCTAATCCTATAGTCATTCTCATGGCTCTTCAATGAACTTTCTCCAATTTGTCAGCATATTTCTTGAATTGTGGACAGTGGAGCCGGACGCAATATTCAGGCAGTGATTGTACCAGTCCAAATACAGAGATAAAATAGCCTCTCGACTCCTACTTGAGCTTCCCCTGTGTACGCATTAGGTTTGTATTCGCTCTTTGGGCCACACCTTTGCACAGCAAGCTCCTGTGCAGTTGATTTACCTGGACCACCAAATCTTTTTGTCAGAGCCACTGCTTCCCAGGATCGAGTACGAATATTAACAACCTGAAAGTGTTGAATTACTCCTCTTCCAGGAATTGAGAGTATATAACCAGAGTAAGTACAGGAAATAAGGGCTAGTGCTTTTGCATCCTTTGGGTCAAATCCTGCATCCTTTAAAAGGGCAATGGAAAGCCTAAAAGGCAACAGAACCAGCATGAGTCTGTAGTCTATTTGTCAAGTTGTACTAGTAATGGAGTGGTTCTGTCTCTGCTTTCCCTGCCTGTGTCAGAGGAGTCATCCATGCCAGATCTCTTTGTGCCAAAATGGAGGTGGTTTTAGGGTGAGGTTAGAGTAGGAGCAAGTCCAGTGGATCTGCAAGTATATATAGGAGAATGGATGCTACTGGTCTCCTGAGGCTCCTTGGCACTGCACAGCCCAAACCTCATGAAGAACCCTGGCCTATTGATTCCATCTTAGGCCTTGAATGTCACTTGCAAATATGCCTATCTCTTTAAAAGAGAGTTTGGAGGATGTGGTGGTAAGCCATAAAGAAATGACTGAAGAAGAGGCTAGCTACACTAGGCAAATAGTCAAGCTGTAGAATTTACTGCTGCAGTAGGTTTCATAGATTTATTTATTTATTTATTTTAAGGACAATTATCATTAGCTAGTCTGACCTCTTGCCTAATTTAGTCCATATAATTTCACTCAGTGATTCCCGCATCAAGCCCATAACTTGTGGTTGAATGACCATTTACTTTTTGAAAGGACATCCAATTCTGATTTAAAAGCTCCAATTGTTGGAGAATTTACATTTTCCAATAAGCTTTTTCCAATGATTAATTATTCTTGCTGCTTAAAAATTTTATTATTTCCAACTGGAATTTGCTGACTTCAATTTCTGCCCATTAGATCTTGTTAGGCCTTTGACTGCTAGATTAAATGTTATCTATTTATGTTTATAGAATGCTTGTATCGAAGACCATGATCAGTTTGCCTCTTAACCTTTTATTTGATAAACTAAATAGATTGAGATCCTTTAACATCATAGTAAGGAATGGTTTTTTTCAGATGGCAAATCATGCTTGTAGCTCTTCTCTGAACCAGGGATACTGGAACAATTTTTATAGTGGGGGTGCTGAGAAC